CTTACAACATGCTCATTTTAAACGGATAGCTTAAATGTTATATTTCAGCATCTCTTTGCTCTCTATAGATCCGACTTACGGGGTTCTGCGCCGTCTAGGTGCAACATCGTTCATTGTTTCTTACCTACAACAACCTATACACCTGAAGATGGCCGGTTAGGCTGAAACATGTAGAGGAATAATGTCCAATAAACGAACAACGAAAGACGTTGCACTTAGGCGTCGCAGGATATCCTAAAGACTATAATTTTGTGAATTTCCCTGAATGTAAGAAGCACAGCTCACACAAAACATCGCCAGCTCACCAACTAAAATGTGTCGGTGTCTTAATAGAAGGAAATCACCTGGAGCACATCAATGCTGTCAGAGAAATATTCTATTATATTATTGCTCTACAACCCTTTGTTGGACCTTGGCCGCTTTTTCAGTTTCTTAATTTATAGAGAGACAGTAGGACTCCTTGGACGGGGGATCAGCCTGTCGCAAGCCCTCTATCTACACAAAGAACATCAGAAAAACAAAATAAATGCACACAAGTATCCATGCCTCTAGTGGAATTCGAACCCTGCTTGAGCGGGCGAAGAAAATTGATGCCTTAGACCGCTCAGCCACCGCGGTAGGCTGTTAAAGAAATAACATTTGTATAATAACCGTAAGTTGGATGAAAACAATTTTGGGTACGGAAAAAATAATTTTACATAATCAGACTTTGTTAACAGATGATGCAAGGTGTACTAGTGAAATTAAATCCAGGATTGCCGTGGCAAAAGCCGCATTTAGCAAGAAGAAGAATCTTTTTACCAGTAAATTGGACTTAAATTTCAGAAAGAAACTATTGAAATGCTACATTTGGAGCATAGCTCTGTATGGGGCTGAAACTTGGACACTTAGGGCAGTAGATCAGAAACATCTGGAAAGTTTCGAAATGTGGTGTTGGAGAAGGATGGAGAAGATCAGTTGGACCGATTGTGTGAGAAATGAAGAAGTGTTATTTAGAGTCAGTGAGCAGAGGAATATCCTACACGAAATAAGAAAACGGAAGGCTAATTAGATTGGTCATATCTTACGCGGTAACTGCCTTCTAAAAGAAGTTATTGAAGGAAAGATAGAGGGGCGGATAGAAGTGACAAGAAGACGTAAGAAGATGCTGGATGACCTTGGGGACAGAAGAGGATACTGTCATTTGAAGGAGAAAGCTCTAGATCGCATTAAATGGAGGAATTGTTTTGGAAGAGACTGTGAACCTGTCGTCTTGACAGATTACTGATGATGATGATCAATCGGACTTATTGTGTGTGCTATTGTTCCTATGCTTTCAGGGTGTAATTTATATCACAATTAGAGCAGGATAAATTTTACATATTACATAAAACACATCACACGAAATAAAAATTTCGAAACCTCGCAAAGAGGAAATTCTTCCATTTGCTATTTAAATTTACATACGACAGGACGCAAAATTTGTTATTCAGTTCATGTACCAATACCACAATCAATATGGAAACTGGCTATGGGGCTGGACAACCGGGGATCGATTCTCGGCATAGGCGTGAAATTTCAATGTTTCCTCCGATGACGGTGATAAGGAAAACGCTGCACACCAAAGAACACTTACCGGTACATGCTAAGGAAAGAGACCACGATACACCACACAATTAACAAAGAATAGACAAAGAACCAAAACATGTAGAGATGCCGAATTCAAACCTTTTGCAAAAGGCCCAATTACTACACCTCAAGCCATCAGCTTTAGGGAAGATGGGAGCAAACCGGAAGAGAGGACAACGGAAAAGAAAAAAAAAAAAACCTCGACATTGCTGCAACATGGAGGCTCTTGGTATTTTGTGTACACCTGTAAAATTCATTATTGGAGAAAACGTGTGGCCTTTCTTGCATTCACCTTGTTCCATATGCGACGAACGAAAGGATGAAGAGAGTATGTGCGTACGTTTTGACGTGTCGAGTTACTGTGATATTTATTCTGGGAAATTCGTTTCGTTCCTGGACGTAACAAATCCCTGCTTGTGACAACTTTGTTTTAATTTTGTTCTTAGTTCGCGAAAAGGGGAGAACTGGGTACTATTTGCGCACAATTTCCAAGAGGCTGAGAAAATTATGAAAACCTTAAACAGCCAGTCTCTGGTCAGCCCTGAAGTCATGTGTTCTTCCACACGCTGTGTTAATCCGCCTTATGAACAAAAGGGTAATTATGCAGATGTCCTTTCATGTCGTTGGCATTTTCTTAAATGAACACAATGTTGGACCTATTCGAACATGTCCGTCTTGTATGATATATCTCCGTGTAGCCTGTTGAAAGTCAGCAGACGTTTTGGAGGAATATTTCGCCTCCATCTTCAGAATCGAAGAATAAGCCAAGTAAGAAACCAGCATGAAGCAAGTAGCAAGGAGACTCTTCGGACATGTCAGTTGACTTTCAACGGACTATGCGGCCCAATATCCCAGAAGATATATCTTCATAATCACCGCCGTCAGAAACTCAAATCTTACTTAGGCTTACTTGTGCGAGTATGTAAGGATGACCCTTCTGTTGGCCGGACACTCATACGGAGGCTCCTGCATTTTGTAAATGTCGAGATGATGTTTTCCTACACATGTCGCTTCCGAGTTTCATAATCGGAAGTTCTAAGAGGCCAGTTAATAATAATAACCTTCGTTCGAGTGGAATTGCTTCACTTTTCTAACAAGTTTCACACACAATCTCGTGTATGAAATGTGACCTGTAGAACACTCTCCATGTTGAAGTTTATCTTCAGGCATTTAACAAAAAAGAATTCTTCGATATAGAACGATTCCTGTTCTATCATATAAAGAACACACTTTCTACGTATCAGTGAATGAAGCAACCAAGTTAATGTCTTTATTCACTCACTCATAACTACATAAATTAGTAGGGATTGACTCCATGAACAGAATGTCTTAAAAGGTTGTTGTTTCTTAGTTGGTCAAGAAACAAGCCTCCTTTTATGGAATCCTAACTTTCAGTTCCGTGTTGGCAAGATCCCACTCCTAATGGCCCTGCCTAATCAGTGAAGATCCTCGTACAGCGTAACTCTGCGTTTTTCCCACAGAGAATGTTTGTGTGTTCCGTATGGCTCTCACAATAAGCAGCGACTCTTTCCCTAACACCATGAACATGTAGGCTTTTGTAACGGAGGCGTAAGGCGTTTCCTCTGAGGTACAAACTGCATTATACCTTATTTAGAAGACATTTAGTCTCTAAATAGCTAAGATCAATTTTACCATTAATCACCCCTCTACTCTTAGGTTAAGGGCCTCTTGCTTTCAGGTTTTCTAGTCATCCCATCTGCTATTTAGTCTTCTAGCATTTGCCGGAGTGAATGGATAATTAATTGTGATACTGCAGATGGCAGTACTTGTGAAATTGTGAATTGTGTAACCTAAGAGCGAGTGGAACAAATTCTCTTGGTCCAAGACGGCGTGAAGTTACTTGTCGCGTGACATACACCCAACACGTGACAATATTATTAATGTTCCACTACAGAAAATTATCTTCAGCCCTTTGTGTAGCGCTGTTTAGTTATCGAGCAGAGACATCTCCAATGTTACTTATTATAACATTATAACGTATTATTCATTGGTTGTCATGTTATTGCAGGGAATATAATTATTCTCTGAAGAAGATTGCAGTTTATAAATTTATCCTCTATGCTTACAAATGAAAGTGCAGCTTAAGACTATTGCTTGACGGTCATAACAAATCTTAGCAATACATTATATTAGGAGCAGGTGCAATAAACATAACCCGAGTCGTCCAGATGTAGCGCATAAGTACGTGAGTCACTGGCGTCACTATTGCATACGCGGTAGATGCTGTTTATTGTTATGGGACGTTGTATGTATTATAATATGCGTAACAATTAAAGAAATATGTTCACTTCCAGCAAGAGTGTACCTACCCTGCTTTACAGATTTTGTCACTGCATCAGGCCTTATCAGACACATAATGGAGGGATTCTAAATTGCGCAAAGTCGCGTTAGGTCCAATTTTAAAACAAAATAGTAATGAAAACGATGATATACATATCGCATATTGTAGACCTCGGCATTAAACTTTGGTAACCAGTTAGAAACACGCTCCGGTCGCTTTTTCCCAGAGAGGGATACCGGTAAGCATTCGACGAGAAGATGTACATCATAGCGAACAGAAAAGTCGCAAGGCTCCACTGTATTCTAGCGCCATTAATGCATCCCATAGTAGAATATTGTATTGGTTCTTGTGTTGCGACCCCTGATAAACTGTTCTGGCACTGTACTAACAGAAACCCAAGTTACACATTGCTAATATCAAATTGCGCCTTTGGACAAGAACCTGAGCCAGTTCTATCCATTATTTCTCTAGCAGAATATTAATAATTCAATTTAATTCAGTTCATTTCACTTCCATTATTGAAGTGCTTGCCAACAGCGGACTGGCTGTAACAGGCGAGGGCTGAAATTATACATAACAAAAACTAGACTGGAACTAGAAATAGAATTAGAACTAGAACGAAACCAAAATTAATACTAGATAATGAAACAATACAGGTAACAGGAAAATCACGTAACTGGAGCCATGAACACAGTAGGATCAAGCAAAGCAAAATACATCCCGAAGGGTGATGGTATGTTTATGGAAAATTTCCAGCGATCTGCAGATGCAGCTTGAGGCTGTGACGCACCTTGTTCGAGTGCTAATCATTGAAATACTACTGACGTTAAATAATTATAATAACAATAGCAGTAGTAGCACTAATAATGGTGGCGTTAAGATTAGCAGAAAATGTAGTAGAGCGACAGGAAATGTTTAAGTTTCACATCATTAAATAATTTGAAAATCTCATGTGTGATCTCCCGTGTGTTTAGCATCTGATTGCTTGTTCTTAATGTGGGCTTGTGCACTGTTCTGTGAACCCAGAATTCAAGGAAACTGATGGTGAATGAATGCGGTTTTTCTTAAAGTCTTTCCTCTCGCTTTCCAGGTTCACCTTCACATGAGCACAGACGATCTGCGGAGAGTATTTCAAGTCGAGAGCCACGACGAAGGTAAGGTCCACAATTAAAATGTGTTATTTACACTAAACATGTATGTGTAATCAGTTTTATCACTACAGAAAATTAATTGAATAAATTTCCACGTTTGTTTCTCACCCTTGCAAAGTTTCCAACTGAGCTGTTTTTCACGAAGCCACAAGCAAAACAAAATTCAGTTTAATCTGGTTCAAACGAACCACTTTGCTGCAATAATTTCTTTCTCTGTCTGTGAGTTTCGGTGGAAAGGCATAAGAAACAGTAGTAGGCTACGGCCCTTAGGTTTGGTTTAAAATAATTATCAGTGGCATTGGGTTCACACTAATTCCCCCAAATTTGTTTTACTTCCATAAAAGAGAAGTCACATGGCAGGAGTGCAGCCAGTCCAGATCAGATTATGCTGCGGTGCATTTCGTAACTCTTCATCAACAGACAAATCCAAGGGTTCTTACGGGACATAAATTCTTAATTTTCTTAGTGTAAACTTGCAAGATATTTCATAGCTGTAGAGGTTAGACGTTAGCTTTATAATGGGGAGATCGTATTAAATTTTAAAATAATAAATATTGGATTTTGGAGCAAAATGACACGGCGAATTTCTCCTTATTCCTTCTGGTTTCCCCTTCCAATTTTTATCCTTCTGGTATTTTATACGAACAGTGAAGAGTTGACACGCCCGTCACCACCTGGCACGACACCTGAGAGCTGAAGGTGGACCCCAGAGCCAGTATGGACGACGTGGATAAGAGTAAATTCTTGACTCTACTAGGACTCGAACTCCGACCCTTCGGCCGTCCAATCCATAGCCAGTCTCTATACCGACTACGCTATCCCGGCTTCTCGCTAGTTCTGAGTGTGATGAAAATGTTTCAAGTAGTTGCAGACGTTAATAAGTTTTAGGGCTTTCATTTTACTTTATGTAACAGTTGTTCCTATGATGAATCATATTGAAGAAAATCGATCTATTTCGATTTGGCCTTCTTTTAATGTAGAGGTTAGGCCTGCACGAAACCAGTATAATTAGAAAAGTATTTCGCTCGAAAACATGTAACGTAGCACTAACATGCCGTATCAGGGTAATCTAAACCCACCAAGTAATTTAGAATATAAACATGAAGATGAACAGATACAATTTCGCCGCTGGGCGTTCATTATTTTGTTCATGTAATGTCTAATAGTACATGTACAAAATAACAGTTCTTCCGTTGTCTCAATATATTACATTATTATAGAAGAAGATCAAATTTCAGTAGTCCATATTGTAATTCAAAGAAGTAACAAACGACACTTGAAACTACAAGTGTCCCAATATTCAGAAAGAGATTTCATATCGTACAATATCAAGAAAGCGGGAATAGCACTAAAATCACAACTTCACCAATATTCAACAGTGAATAAAATTCAGAGGTGCGTGAGGGTGATATAATGATTCATTTATTGATATTTCGGAAATTATCCATCGTCCTCTTTGTATTTATTTACTTACTTACTTATGAAGCTGGGCCCTTCTTGAGGAAAAGCCAAATTTGCAGCTACTCAAGAATTTCCCAGCATTTTATGGAACTCGAAAGTTCATTACCGTGTTCACAAGAGCCCTCCACTGGTCCCTATCCTTCTGGCTTTTCCACCAATATCCTATATGCATTCCTCTTCGCACCCATTCGTGCTACATTCCCTGCCCACCTCATCCTTCTTCACTTGATCATTCTCATATTTATTTATTTAGGGATTAACTATGGTTTGGGCCCATCTGGATAGCCCTTTTACCTGAGAATGGAGTTAGAGTCCTGCCTCCAAAAAGTTGTTTTAAATAAAAATAATACGATTAATAATGTCCTAAAAGTTAATAACTATATTCAAAAGCGAGGTTTTTCCTAAAGTGTCAGTGAGTTAAGCCGTATTTTAAAACATGCAATAAATTGAAAGTAGAAATGAATGGTTTTAAAATTTTTAATTTTCAAAAACGTGCCCTTATCCTAAAACTGCTATCGGTTAAGCCGCACCAATTTTCGGGTGCCCTTTCATCTGGCACGCTTCAACTCTAAATGTGTAAGATTTGCCAGAACACACCCCTCATCCCACAAGGATCTCTCTGTCTCTCTCCTGCTGCTCCCATTTTGGGGCGTAGTGCATCAGTGGGACGCTTTCTTTCACTTCAGTTTCTTAATCCTAAGACAGTCGGTAGGACACCTTGGACGGGGTATCAGCCTGTCGCAAGGCCGCTACTTACACAGGACAACACAAACACAGAGTAAAAGCAGACAATCATCTATGACTTGTATTTTTTTCATTGGTTGCATGCTGTTGTGTGTCTCAGACAATATATAATATGTAGGAACTATACTACCGCCAGCACGACAAATACCCCGGGCTTATTACGTAGAATTTCTGCAAGAAGACCTACGCAACATACACGCCCAATTCTACACCATAGCAGGATATACCCTTAAATAAATTTCAGTCGGCATACATATCCCTAACCCTACATAATACCTTTATATACTCGTACTTCTAATATACCTTTATATGTTTTAATAATATTTCAATATGTTATGTATAGTACACCTTTATTCTATCTTTATTTTATTCTTAATCATATATTTCCTGTTTTAACTATACACCAATCTGAGACAAAGTTTATGTTAATATTTAAGACAACTCGTTGCACCGATAAGGAGCCGTATCGCTATTTCAATAACTATACATATTCCTACCTGATGATGGTCATGTATGACCGAAACATGTCGCAGTAAAGGAAGATCTAAATGTAATAACTGAAATATTTGTTGTGTTGACGGTACCATAGTTCTTACATATTGTATATGTATGCCTTGAGTGGGATTCGAACCCACGATCCCGGTGTTCGAGCGGGCGAAGACCGCGCGGCCACTGTGATCGGCTCCCTCAAATACCTAACGATCAATACGTCACTTTGTTTTAAAACGTCGTCATTTTTACAAGAGAACCCCTAAATGAATGGTGTACGTGCATAACTTCTTAATATTCAGAACTGCTGTGCAGCGGGTAGAGGTTAGGCCCCCAACTCCCATGTTATCACTGGTCGCGGCAGTGCTGTATGATCCCCGAGTAGGTCCGCTCAGAAATTTGTAATAATTTCCGAAAACTTCAGCTGGATCTTAGTTCTGTTCATCTGATCCTTGAGATGGCGCCCTTTACGATTGCCTGGCAATACTTCTCAACTCCACAATTTAAACGTGCAAGTCTGAAAACTGTAAATAATACTTTGAAAAGCTTATGGTTCTCCACCCCCACTAACTTGAACTTTCGTATCCTCTGTCGAGTGTGTGCTGTGACCCGCCATAGAAGTTTGAGTTCGAAATGTCGGCCGAAGGATGAATGGAACAAAATTTCGAAATTTTCGGAGGAAATTCTGTCCAAGCCACTCTACACTAAATTCAATACAGATAAAACATCTGCCTATCCTTGTGTTTAATATGGAGCGACAATATGCATAATTAACAACAGACGTTTTGTGACTGAGTGTGGGTATTTGACTATGTCTAGGTTACGTCATCACGCAGTAGTAGTCTGCACGCACGTGTATAGGTGGCAGCTCTATATTCCATAATTTGAAGATGAAACTTATTTCACTGTTTTAACGAAGAAAGGAGGGAAAGAGATAAAGGTGTAAAGGAGTTAAATGAAATTAAGAAGAGGGAGTGAAGGATGCAGGTGCAAACTGAATGAGTGTACGTTGAATTTTAACAGGCTTTTCCAGTAGTTCATTAATGACAGTAAATCGTAGTGCTTGAGGCACGCCACATGAAGTCTTCCAGTTACAGTGACGTCATGTGATGCAATGGATATGCGCTTAACAAGTTCATTATACACTGTATATTACGTATGGAAGTGTTTATTTGGTTCTGGATTGCGTCAAGTTTTTTCTGTCACCTCTTCTAATATTCCCATTTGGTGAAGAATACTCAGCTTATATCAGCAGCAATCTCCAGGCGAAAGACATCAAACTTTCCGTAGAAATATGGAAGGCATATACAGACTGGTAATAACAAGACTGAAGTAAACATTATGTTACAAATTGAAACATGTTTTGTACACAGATCTATAGGCTTATAGGCCTATTCCTGAGGTCCTCTTTAGAATAGCATAATGTATAAAGATAAATACATTTCTCTCATTAGTTTTTACACCAGAGTACTCACTTACTTACTTACTTACTTACTTACTTACTTCTGGAGCTGAGCCCTTCTTGAGGAGAATCCAAGGCTGCAGCTACTCTAGAATTTCCCATCATTTTATGAAACCCGAAAGTTCATTACCGTGTTCACAAGATCCCTCAACTGGTCCCTATCCTGAGCCACATCAATCCAATCCATAAAATCCCATCCTATATCTCTAAGAGACATTTCGGTATTGTCCACCGACCTACATATTTGTCTTCCTTGTGGTCCTTTTCCTTTTGGCTTTCCCACCAATATCCTATACACATTCCTTTTCACCTCTATTCGTGCTATATACCCTACCCACCTCATCCTCCTTGACTTGATCATTCTAATTTTACTTGGAGAAGAGTACAAGTTATGAAGCTCCTCATTATGCAGTTTTCTCCAACCTCCTGTCACTTCATCTCTCTTCGGTACAAATATTCTCCTCAGTACCCTGTTCTCAAACACCCTCAGTCTATGTCCCTCCCTTAATGTCAGAGACCAAGTTTCACACCCATAGAGAACCACAGGCAAAATTTTAGTTTGGTATATTCTAATTTTTATATTTTTGGACAACAGACGAGACGACAAAAGTTTCTGGACTGAATGGTAGTAAGCATTACCCGAATTTGCAATCTTATACCCACGGAAGATTTTCCTGGTGCCGGTTATAATGTTAAAAAATTCATAATAATTTCTTAATTTTTCGCTGATTATCAGAACGCACGTGGCGATTTCCCTTCTAGGAAGAGAATCTTCGTCCTGTATTAAGGGGCCTAAATGCTTAGATTGCGTTCGAGCGCCATGCTGGCTGAAGGGTTCATGTGCAGATACAGATATTCTCTGTGCAAATCGCTTGCACTTCGTTACATATATCCTTCAGAGATAAGAATGTGCCAACAGGATATTGTAATGTGAGAACACGAGATGCGGCTATGTTTAATCTAAGTATTTCAGTTCACACCTTTCCCCGTTAAAGTCGCAATCTGCCAGCCCCTTCATGTTCCCTTCACCCTGAAGAGTTTGGCACACTCTGATGTACATCGTTTGCTCCGTGACAATTGAAATAAGCTTATACAGAGAAAGATTTCTGGTCAATGGGTAAAACAACAGTCGATGAACAAATCTTGCGAAAATTAAGCTTCAATAACATCCATCATTAAGAAATCTTAAATACCAAAATTAATTTCCGCCGGTCACGGTAACCGTGCGGTCTAAGGCATGTACTGTCTTCGCTCGGAAGCCCGGATCGTGGGTTCGGATCCAAAACAGAGCATGGATATTTGGTATGCGTATGTGTTTATTCTGTGTTTGTGTTGTCCTATGTTTAGGTAGAGGCCTTGCGACGGACTGATCGCTCGTCCATTGAGCCCCCGCCTCCAGTCTGTAAAATGATCATGAAACTAAAAAATCAGAGACCATGGCCCAAGGAGGGCTGTAGAGCCAGTGCAAAAAAAAAAAAAAATTTGCTTTCACTCAACGGATGACGGACATGGAGACCTGGGATCAGAAATCGTTCTTGGTTGATCTATCAAAAATTCTGTGAACTGAATGATCAAAAACTATGTTGAAACTCGGTGTAAAAGGGTAGTATATTTTCTGATATTGACAAAATTTTGATTTGTAGTATAATTACAAATATACACTGTTCATTAACTCAGAGTTATTGAAAACAGGCACTAGATCAAGAGGTATATATGTATGTATGTATGTATGTAAGGAGTGGGCCACGAAAACCGGCCCTCGCACTGCGACCTTAAATGATCTGTTGTGCTTCCCCTTGGATTAGCCCTTTATTAATCCTGCACTTTTAATAATGTGTAGGACCCTCCTAGATCAAGAGGTATATCTTCTGAGATACAATGTGTAGTCTGTTAAATTCAACAGATATTTCGAAGCTAAGTCCCCTCCATATTCAGAGCAGGAGATCAGGTCAGTCAAGAGAGCGCCATGAAGCAGATAACAAGCAAAGCTCTATTCTTCGACCCTGAAGATGGAGGCGACATACTTCTTCTAAATGTTTGTTGACTTTCAACGAAATACATGGCCTCATCTCTCGGAAGATATAACTCTTCATGATCACCTCTGTGAGAACCTCAAATCCTACAAAGACAAGACAGTTCGACAAGAATAGAAATAGGTCCTGAATATACCTTCTAACGCCTAATTTCCTTGCATGTTTCGCTCCACAAGGCGGGCTAGTAGAAAATTTACTTTATTGATTATGCTAGTGATCAGTTTATGTCTATAATGTTGGTCGGTAAATTGTTGATCACGTTAAACGTATGAGACGGACTGTACGAGCAGAATCTCGAAGCGTTGTATTTCCCTTAATTTTGTGCCACAGACGTGACGTACAGATCTATTGCTCTTGATGTTGTTACTGATCCTAAATTCTGCAGAGAACTCATTACTTCAGTAAGGATTTTGTCTGCGTTTAGTTTGTCACAAATAACCTCAAAGTTTTGCATCCTCGCAGTGTTTGTAATTGTTGATTTGAAAACAATATTTTATGCATACTGTGTAGGTGTGTTTATGAGATTCTTCCATACTAGATTTCACTTACTTAGATCTATCTATGGTTCTGCAGCCTTTTGTTGGACCTTGGCCGCTTTTTCAGTTTCTTGTACTTTTACACAGTCGGAGGGATTCCTTGGATGGGGGATTAGCCCTTCGCAACACCGCTACCTGCAAACAGGATAACAGAAACACAGAATAAACACACACAAACATCCATGACCCAAGTAGGATTCAAACGCACAGTCCCAGTGTTTTCAGAGGTGAAGACAGTTCGTGCCTTAGACGGCCATTGTGATCGGCATGCGTAGGTCTAATGGTCCATTAATTATCACCATCACACCAAAAAATGTAAAAGGTATAAGCTGTATAAGAGCAGGCAGAGCCCCTCTCCCTGCTCTCGCTGCTCTCCCTGCTCTAATACAGCTGGGTTTGTCTCGACATTAGTCTGTCAGCACCTGCTCACGCTGGTTCCTCGCTCGCGGATTTTCTTCTCTTTCTTCTTCCCTGAAGATGGAGACAATACGTTCCTCCGAAATGTCGGTTAATACAACATCTACACGACGCCACATCCCAGAAGACTGTTTCTCTTATCCCAAATGATTCACGATTTGAAATAGCGGACATAGAGGCACAGAGGGGATAATGATCTAATAACATTTGTTTCCTTAGGAAAGAAAATACACTACAAAAACTGTATACACGTAATATAGTCTACTTACATACAAAACATCCAAAACTCAGCTCCATTCGTTATCTTTACCTAACAGAAATCCAAATGCATAATTTACGGGACCGCCATTTTTGTTTTACAGCCTATGAAAGAATATCATAATGAAATTTGAATACTTTCCTTATATCTATTGACACACAAAAGTTTCGGAAGCTTCTATCAGGTGACGAAAGCGTCTTTCCGCCTCGGAACTCCACAGAGCCATCTAGTTGCTATTAGTCAGACCACAGATTACTATTACATAACTGTAGTAGTCTTCTTTTGCATGACACTCATACCAAATATTATGACAATCCGTCAGCTGGTTCAAAGTTATTAGGGGACGGACACCGCGAGATGATGTATCATATGCATATTTTTGTTCTATGTACTCCTATATGTACAGTATGTACACATATACAGTATATGTAAAGGAGAGTGTGAGTTTGTTCTTTATATATTTCCATATGGTTGCACCTGTTTCCATACCAAACTTGCCATAATGACAGAGGACCTTCCTGAAGAAGTTTTAGACACTTGAAAACTCAAAGTTCTTTGATTTTAATATACCCCTCAAAATTTTAGAAACCTCAAAAATAAATTTATTTCTTACTGCTAGATATCCATCTGTCTTATCATATTTATGTTTCCTAAAAATAAGAAACTGCCATACCTACTCTATACACCTCTCTGTTATAATTTTCAGCATTTCAAAAGTAAACAGCAGTCTTTATTCCATATATTCAGTTAAGAATTTAACATTCGTAAATTTTTAGATCTTTACAATTTATAATTACACATATGCATTACGATCGGGAAATACCTGAACAGATCAGCTGGTTTACTATAAAATAGGACTAAATATTCAGTTCTTTGTGATTAGTTCCATAACATGCGTACAGATGGCACGATATGTTACTAATAAATTCGTCCTTTCTGTTGGTCAGTTGGAAAACATCATAACGTTTCGTTATGGATAAGTGTGTCAACTTCAGTTAGTTTCTAGAAACATTGTTTAAAGCAACAAGTTTCAAGTTCACAAATTGGTGATTGGGTCTCCGATATTTATGGATAAATTCAAATCTACAAAATAACATGCAATTCGAAATTAATAACAATATTCATTTCTAACTCTGAATATACAGCTTCTCTTTTCAACATGTTATTAATCTGTCCTCACAACATAATGCCCAGGTACTCGAATTCTCATACTGCTACTGTCTGCTCTGGCACGTTACGTTTCGTAGTCATTTCTGCCAAAAGGGACGACAGATACTAAAACTGGAGGAGGAGATATAATAAGAATAAGAAAAAGAAGAATGAATAGCTGTGTAATACATTTTATATTCTTTGTCCCATCTCAATATTTTTATTTTTCAGGAAACTACCGCTACTTAAAAATATTATTGTGGGTTCATAGTATCACGTATGAGGGGTTTAGCGTGACTAATAATAATGGGTTCTGGATGAGATCACTGAGTTCATTGGTACTTCTTTACAATTAAACTCAATTACGACAGCTCACAATCTCGCTCCATTCCTCACTGGACCACGAGCATCTTCGCTTCCACTGTGGCGAATGTCGAAACATTGCTCACACATTGAACTCCTGCTGAATACCGGATCAAGAATCTCTACTAAGAATCTTGGACTGATCTGTCACTGCTTCGAATGCACGAATAAACTCCCTTTCATAACTGCGAGAGAACCTAGTGTATTCCACCGCCTCCAAGGGTTCAGTTCCTGTTCTTCAGGTATGCGTTATCTCCGAAACCATACGTTAATTCCCAAACAACAGTCTGAGTATCCTTGGAAATGGTGTTCCGTAATCAGTCGGTTTCGAGGAATCAATGTCTCTGTGGCAGCGTGGCCCATTCGTTTCCTAGTAACGGCCCACATGTCACAATATTTTCTTCGATATGTAAGAATTAAACAGAGAACGTTTTACTTGTGCTATATTTCAGTGCCTGAGTACGAGGTGATCCAAGTGCACTCTGTAACGAAGAGGGATGCCCGGACTGATGACGATGGAGGCGGCGGGTCAATACAGACGGAGCCACCGCCTCCGACAAACGGCTCGTTGCATCGTCTGAAGCTCACGGCGTTCGGAAACGATGTCAATCTGAAACTGCAGCGTACTGAGGGTCTTTTCACTGGCGGGACCCTCAGGATGTGGACGGCTGAGCCCAACTCCACCCAGGCTCAGGATGTGGAGTACCGTGAACTACCGCAGGTACGTCCACTATACTTATGTCTGGGGTTGCACGTCTGAGAGTGAAAAGTTAGAAACTGTAAGACGAAGCCACTTAGCTTACAGACTGCAGAGACGTGGGAACATACGGAGTTGATACGTTGCTAATGATGCTACATTATTATGGCAGCATAATGGGTTGATAGAGCGCTGCACACGCTCATTACAGATAATAATATCTCTACCGGTAGGTGACTCTGCCAACAATAATTTCTCTGTTGACAGGGTCGTCATTTCCATGAAACATTTTTGTTTAGGACTTTTTGTTGCTTGTATTTTGTAAATTTTAAGCACTAGAAGTTTTGATATTATGTCCGGGTGAATTCCTACTTCCAAATCTTTACCAATTTAGCATACGTGATAATTTCCCCATTTCATTCGACAGTAGGAAGTTCTCCGGTTGAAGAAACAGAGTTAAGTAACCTGAGAGTAAAATAGCCAGGGAGACGAAAGGACTTGAGCATTCAGCACAAATGGGAAAGCAAAGAGTGCAGACAAAATTTTGCCGGAAAACTGATTCATAGAGGATTTCTGAGAGATGTATTTATAGATCCGAGGAGAGTACTGTCACGATATTAGTGAGTATAGACGCGATTTTGGATTTATAATCGAATTTATTGACTTATTGATACAGCGCATGGCTATATTTTACAATTCACTATTAGGCATACAGTAGCATCTACAGTCACGTCTTCGCTGCCGTTGGTTAGTAGTGACTTCCAACATCGGACTATCCGTGGTCTCAGCTACCAGCTTCTAACAGTAACAGCTCACGATGACTGAACCGCAGCAGTCCTTAAACTCACTAACTCACCAAAAAACTTACTAACAAACTGTGTAAAAAACACCGTATCTCTGTTGTAGTGGGAACATGCTTATTTGCTTAGCCGTTACTTAACAACGGCTATTGTATAATTGCTTATTTCACGGTCGTTGCTTAGCAACGGGTGTACATGTCACAATATGTGAGGATGTGAACTGGACTAATGTGGGTCAGAATACACTCAAAGAGTGCAATTCTGTTACGACAATGACGAACCAGCTGATTAGTTTATTAAGTATGATAGAGTAACAGTAAATTGTTTCCAAACTGATATCGGTATATTCACATAGGCATCATCATGTTTTCTAATTCTGTGAGTTAAGTCTTAGGTGTAGCTTAAGCTACATAGCTTTTAATAACGTCTTCCTAATTTGGGTGACCTTGTTTAGGTTTTTCCGTTTAAACCCATACTCCAGAGGTGTTAACCTAACAACTCAATAGCAGAACTTGTAGGGATTGATACTGCTTAAGGCAAGCTTCTTGTCAACATAAATTCAAACCAACGACGAATTAGCGAACTCCGCCACTTGCCGTGCTAAATGGAAAGCATACAAAAAGTTACTCAGGGTCAAAAATTGGAAATGTAAATACAAATGTGTGGTTCCGGCCTGGGGCGTTCAAGGTGAAAAGCAACAAATTGTGGCAGCAAGAAACGATTTATGCTGAACAAAGAGCAATTCACAGCCGCACCCCCCCCCCCCAACAAGAGCGTCAAGGAAATACACAAGTAGAAGTTTACAAGGAGATGCAAAAACTGAATTGTATAGCCAGCTCGTTTTTATGGAAAATTAAATATTTCAGCGCACGCAACGGTCTAGTTACGTAAGTACAGAATATTCAGTTTTGCGCCAATGAAACAAATAACTCACACACTTCGTAGTGTTAGTATTCTGCTGCTGATTTCACGATGTGAGCAAGTATTTGTGACGACACTTATGTCATTTCTCCACCAACATGAAATTTGGCTGGCGCAGACAAATTTTCACATCCTTGTCCACCATGAAAGGGGGGGGGGCTTACGACATCAGCTCCTTATCAGAGACATGTCACATCAGGCCGCAAGTGCACACAAAACACGTGCAGGCACTACCGTCGCTCCGCCTGTACTTGCCAAATACATTTAACGTTCCTTGTGGTGACAGCCAACAGCACCAATTTTGGTCCAGATCATCGACCATTCTGTCAGGGACTTCCGGTGGTTTTCTCTGTTCTTCCAGGTGAATTTCGGGTCGATATCTTGTTACAGTTTGTGGTAGCTTCCTTCTCATCATTCAAGCTCATTCATTACAATCATACATTTCATTCGACGCCTGATAGTCACAGTAGTTCAAATATCATCTTTAAATAAGCCGCAAATAAGAGAGTCATACTCGTGGGCTTTGTTTGTACTTGAGTATAACATAATGTCAGGCTTTTAGGGGTGACTAATAAGATGGGTTTCGGATTAGAGGTTTCGATTTATTGCACCTTATACGAGTACATTCCCACAACTCGGAACTATAGGTGACACACACACTTTCCAGTTCATCGTTCCACAGTCTTCCCTAGTCGTATCCCTGCAACGGATTTCACAGCAGTCTCACTGTAACTTCAAATTACACATGAAGTCTTCTTTGTACCGCCTAATTTCCTTTCTTGCCCTTATTCTGTTACTTCCAATTCCGAAGACTCGACTCAGTTCAATTCCAAGCTCATATCCCGGCAGGCTGATGTCTCGAAGCTCGACCCTTTACTTCCTAAGCAATTGGTCCACTTCTGCTACTTCTACTCAAGTCAAAGTCAAAGTCACATTGCGACTGACGGACAGTCAGTCAGCAGTTAGTGGCGTCGAGCCCCATCTGTGGCTCATGACCAGATAGTTATTGCTATTTGATAATTACAGACTTGTTTTCGTGGGTCGCCCTCTCTGACGAGAGTACAGGGTTGTCTTTTGTATATGCTGCTGGTCCTTGCCAGCGCAGTCTTTCTCAGGTCCGAGTCCCTTGGTACTCGCGACCATATTGTACTGTCTCAGATTTGAGACTTCTCTTTTCGTCGCCTCCTACGACTCGCAGGGTCACGGTGGAGGTATTCGACCCCGCCTTCACACGGGTGGTACTTCTACTCGCCAACTCTGTCTCTTTATAAGCCATCGGCACGGACCCCACGGAAAAAACAGCCTGTATTGTTAAGGATACCTGTTTACTGGTCCTTTACATAGCACTAGATGTATTAGTGTCTCGTGCGCGTGTGTGTGCGGGAATGTGTTTACCGAACCATTGCCTAGCAATGGCTATACAGGTCACAAGAGTTTTAATGCCTTCTGCATAACTGATTTCATTGCCTTCTGTTTTTACGCTGCTTCATTCATCAGCAGCATGTTTCAAGAATATCTTTCACGCTGTATTTGCAGTTCTCACTGCAAGGACTATGAACACCCTGTTACAGAATGTGATACTGTACAGTCTGGCAAATAGTGCACGCGTTTCAGAGCGACGTATTATCTCCATCTTCAAGGTAAAGCGTAAGCCAAGAAGAAACCTTACCCTGGAGAGGCTCCGCTTGCTGACTGCTTAATGCTGATTTATTGTCTTATTCTTCAACCCTGAATATGGAAGCAGTACGTTCCTCCGAAACCCCGCTAAACTTATAGCAGATTTTACAGGGAAATTTACCTGAAAATATTATTCTTGAATATTTGTCATATTCGGGATATTTTTATTGCAATAAATATGCAAATTAAGTACTAAATTAATTTATAATTTACATAACATGGAATATTTAGAAGTGTGTGTAAGTTAATGATTCTTTTAAGGTGTAGGCTCTAGATGATCTGTATTCAAATATTATTTAGTCAATAACCAATTAAGAGTGGAAAACAAGATTCAGATCAGAAAATACTACAAAAGCATTGGGGCTTATGGATATATAACCACCACATCCCTTCACCCCCCTCGCCTGTCTTGCTGTTCACCTCCGCTCTTGCAAGAACCACACCACATTTTGTAAATAATGCATAAGCGACAATATGGCCAACGGCTTACTGAATGAATATCGAGAAATGTCGAAATGAATTATAATTCAACAAGCCGTGCAAGCACTAAAACGTAGCTAACAATTATAACATATCGATATATCGGAATTACATAGTTTCGAGTCATATTGACAGGGCAGGCCGCCTGTAGACACTTTAAGGTGGGGGGGGGGACATTTAAAAAACTAGTTCTCTTACTCTCTTTTCGTTTTTGCTAAATGGAGATTAATTTATGCTTATCCTTTATTCATACCACGACAATTAATTGGCAGTTATCTGAGCACGTTATGCAACATATACAACTATTTCAAAGCTACAACACTAGAGACGGTTTTCGACAATGTGTGGAAATTTCGTGTTATTAACTGCACGGATATTTTGAGAAAGTTGATCTGTTTTTAACTGAGAGGGGCAGCTGAAACCCCTATCCCCTGGGGGGGCATTTGTTCGTACACTGGCCCCACCTATCAACGCACAGTAGCCCAGCCTACATACCAATATAAAAAAAGAAGTTATTTGAATTGATATTCAGTGTTTCATAATAACTTTTCAGTCTGACCTATATTTTAACTGCTGACTGATCATGTACTACATAAAATAACAAATTGTGTATATATATATATGCCTTAATGCAGGGGTTCTCAAAATACGTGATATAGTAACCTCCTAAAACATCACTTAAATTTACGTGTCTTTCCGTTTTTGAACCTATTCATATCATTATGATTAAAAAGAAAGGAGTCTTATCACATTTATCAGTGCCTGTTGGCTACAGCTACATTTTTCGAAAGCACCTAGTGGCTTCCTCACTTGAGAATATTGTTTCGGTACAATTATATTTTTAATAATTATGGAGAACACGGCTACCCAAAATATAATAGATCACGATTCCTTTGAGAGTCCCCGACCCACAGTTTTAAAACTCATGTTTTAATGCATGGACTGTCAAATTTCCTCATACCGGGACACATTGAAATACTGCTGAAATCGAGGCGGCCCCCGTCTTTGTCGACCAGCGGAAAGTGCTGTTGTGCATATTGCTGCAGACCGCTATCAGGCTGTGCAGTGACAGCAGGTTGACAGCCTCTCTACACATCCAAGAAGTCATAAAAACTTTGCACAATATTTCGCCGGCTGTAGCTTCAT